TTTTGCTCCTAGTATGAGTTAGTATATTATTAGAATGTTTGAGTGACTTTGTAACCCTATTTGCCTTTTTTTGGTCTTAAAGCCATCATAAAATGAACCATTCTGTAGGTGTTTAATATCTTTGATGAGGATCTGGTAGTTATGTGGCTAATTAATGGACAAAAAGTGAGCAGACTTCATAGAAATACCTTGGCGTGAAGGTACATAAAACCTTCACGTTTTATGCTTCTCACTAGTGTTTCAGAGAGGTGAACTCTGATATAACTAAGTCACTATTACCGGCACTACAGGCTATTACCAAATAAATAAGATGAATGTAGATGAGTCTGGGACCAGTGAACTATTATACAATTAATTCTTACTTAAACTATATGAATTCGGAGGAGACCTGAACCAAAGCAGATCTACAAATCTCACTATTTTATAAGGCATTTCCCCCTGATAAAAATGGGGATGATGATATTTAATGCATAAAGTGTCTTATGTACGTATTAAAATTGATGACTTAATTTTTAAAGCTGGTTAAGATCCTCATCAAAGATATTAAACACCTACAGAATGGTTCATTTTATGATGGCTTTAAGACCAAAAAAAGACAAATAGGGTTACAAAGTCACTCAAACATTCTAATAATATACTAACTCATACTAGGAGCAAAAAACATTTTTTAAAAAAATCGACCATCTAGTTGTTCTTGGATGCTACATGTACAAATCTGTCATCTTTCCCATAGCCTTCCCCTTCATGTACTATTTTGCCATTCCAAAAGACTATTCCAGCCAGCATTATGTGCTGTCATATTTGTTAACACCAGCAGTTTAGATTCAGCTATGTCATTTTGTATCATTAACTAGATATTAATCAGGCAGTCTGTATGTTTCCATACACATTCCCTCACAGAACATAGAAATTGTCTGAAAGAACAATCCAGACAGATCCTGGTCCCTTAGTATCTAATTGTCAGCTTGATTTGTTATTTGCCACCTTAGGAGAAAGTTGTGATACCCAAATAAAATGTGTGTGAAGTACTTTTCAGGATATAGCTGAACAAAGAATAACCAGGGGAAAAAATGGAGCACTTAACTAGTCCAGGCTGTTATTAAAGAACTTTTTCCATGACCATTCAACTGAGTCTCCCCTTTCAACCAGGTGCTGTGCTAAATATATCACTGAGATTCTTGTTGGGGTTCTTCTATCATTCTCTCATATACCAGCAACCCTTTGGACGAACTGTCTTTCAGTTCTGAGAATGCACTGAAGTCCTGCTTTCCCAATCTTTGATGCTCTGTTTCCTCTACCTGAATGACTGCTCCCACTCCCATAACCCCAGTCTTCTTTCTGCTTACCTTTTATGTCTCAGCTTAAAAATCTTTTTAACAGCCAAATTTTTCCCTAACACTCTATGCTATTAGATTTCTCCATTGTGCTCTTTCATTACCTTCAACTTTTCAGAGCATTCAACAAAATTATAAGTAAGTAATTATTTACTATTTGATTTGTTTCATACTCTGCTAGTTGTAAGCTTCAAGAGGGCAAGGAGAGGGTTACTCTGGCTCACCACTAGATTACTAGCCATTGGACAAGTGCCTGGCATATAGTGGAGCCTCAATAAATACGAAGGTAGACTATGCTCTCTATGGACTCACAATTCAGAACTATTTAATTTTTTTGTAGGATCTATGCTATTTTCAGACTTAACTCTTACTTTTAAATCAAGCTGTAAATAATAAAATAAACTGACATAATAACTAGACATGGAGAAGAGGGGAGTTAGTGGTAAGGCAAGTGGTAAGGATCAAGTTAACTTCCATTTAGTGCTTCAGAACATCTAGCTGCCAAGTAATAAATGGTCCTAAAGTGCCTTTATTACTTTGGCTTCTCAAAAATGAGACTAAAGCCCTTTTCAAGTATCCCTCTGTGAAATCTCAGAGAAAGTTTGAGAGCTTGTATTTGCTAAATGGGCTTAAAAATTAGTCTTTAGTTTAAATAATCAACTAATAGGTTTTTTATTTCTCCTTTTCTTGCAGATTTTATAGTGCCCACAATTTCCCTCAAAGAATAAACCAATAAGTAGTGAGACAGTTCTGGATACAAAGGAAGAGTAGACATCTAGGAAAGAAAGATGAGGCAGAGGGTATTTGAGACTGCCCTAGAAGCTAAAGTTTTAATCTGAAATCTGATCTGCATGTCAAACATGTACCTATAAGACTCAGATTGGAGCTTTGTAATAGTCTCTGCCTTGTTCTATGTTCTGTAAAAGCTTATGGCTTTATGGTTACCAGAGATTTGCTGTCTCTTACTAGCTGGAAACTCAGATTTTGTGTTTATATATTTCAAACTTTTTATGCCTTTGTATCCTGTACTAATCAAACAAGCCTGCCCTAGAAGCTAAAGTTTTCACGATTCTCTATATAGGATTCAGGATGTAGCATTTTATTTTAGCTTCTTATTGGCTTCCAGAATTCTCTTTTGTCTTTTAATATAAAATCTTAGTTTATCAATATTGGCATTGATGGGGAAATTATCTTTTCCTACCTCAGAAGAGTTTGGAATGATAAACAAAATAGATATCTGGAGTAAGTTTAGTTATTTTTTTCCAAATGCTTACTATATTGAGAGTTCATTTACTCAATTACTTCATATTGATTTTCTAAAGGTCAATGAAAATAAAGAATACCTGAAAACTGAAATTTGTAAATCTACAGCATTTTTAATGACTGGGGCATTAGGACACTTAGAAACCATTACATTGCTGATGAGTATTTAAGATTTTAGTTAAATGATTCATTTTTCTTTTTCAGATTAGGGTATTAGGATCCAATTAAGAAAATGCCATGGCTAGGGTGCACAGACTCCTCTTCTAACATCATTTCTCTTTGTTAACTTGGTAAGAATTTATATTTACCTAAGGATGGTTTTTGAAGTTGAAATTTTCTTACTAACATTCACAAACACACAAATTTTTCCCCACTAGCTTCTAAAAATGGAAAGTTCACTCATAAAAATCCAACATATATAGAAGTTATTGTGACGAGTAAAATTAAAACTATGCTTATGCTAACCACCTAAAGTTATTTTACATTTTTGTATATTACCTTGATGTCTTTTTGCCACTTACATATTTTATATACAGTATTTATTTTCTACAGTTTGGATAGAGGTTTTTGTATCCATTATTTCCATTTGACTTCTTATCTTGAACTATTCCTTGTCATTAAGATACCTTTGTAAATATAGTTTCTTGTGGTTCTTTTACTGTGACATCCCATGAAACACTATCATGTGTCTGACACTCCTCAAGTTGTTTATTTTTTAGGAATTATAAACACCTGTTTACATCGGTCTTTGAATTTCTATTTTTACTTTAGAAGACATTTATAAAATGAAATTACAAGTAAAATGGTATGGACATTTTTAAGGCTTTTGATATATATAAAATTGCTTTCTAGGATATTAATACTAATTGATATTTTCACTTACCACAAATGACTATGCTTAATATATTTGCCATATAAGAGATCATATGAAAAAATGAGAAAAGATGTACTAATAATAAAATGTCTTCAGATGATCAAGAACAGAAAATTTATTAAAAGAAAATTAAAATATTCATATAAATATATATATGAATAAAACTAAAATAAAATATGATTGTGATTTTAATGAACTATTTTTCTTTGAAATTATTGAAAGGTAGGATTTCCACTTTCCCTTAAATTCCCTTCATCGTTTTTGCAATCCATACTCTAAATTCCCTTTCTGTCATTTTCATAATTTCTTTATAGTTGGGATCCTCTGTGGTAGCTGCCTTGTGATCTTTTAGGGGTTGTTGATGTGTTCTGGTTTTTCATGTTATCAGAATTTTTTTCTTGGTTCCTCCTCATATGTGTTTTCTTCTTATTCACATCCTTCCCCTACTTACTCCTCTCACTTTCTTCTAATCCTTAATTTTCCTTATTCTGTGCTTGGGTATTGAAGTGGCCTTTTGGTAGAGGGATGAAACGAAGAGAAGAAAAGAAAGGAAGAAGGGAGAAAAGAAGAAAAAAAATCTTTTTAATTTAGAAAAAGGAGAAAAGAAAGATGGAAAGAGAAAAATAGTAATGATAACGGTATTGGGCAGGGCATAATAACCCACATCCACAATACCAGGACCCTAGGGGTCTGGAACAGGAAGGCCCCCTGAAGTTAGGAGCTTCTTGGCAGGCTGAACTAGATCAAGAGCCTTCCTCCACCAAATATAGAAAAAATTCAGCCATGTGTCATGGTGGAGACCTATAAATACGGTCTCTGGGAGGCCAAAGATAGAAGAGCACCCAGCCAAGGGTTCCCAGGCCTCAGAGCAAGGCTCTATCCCAGAAATAAAAAAACAGACAAAAAGGAAAGAAAGAAAGAATAAAAAGGTAATGAGAGTGGCTGATGAAGATATGTCTCTAGTCTGTCATCTTAAAGCCCCTCATGAAAGGTAGGATTTTAACAGAAAGCTAGATAAAGGATATATAGGAAACTCTATACTTTTTAACTTTTCTACAAGTTTGAAATTATTTCAAAATAAGTTTAAAAGTTAATTTACTTACATAATGGTTGTTAGTTTCTTAGGTTACTTTATAATGTCATTGTACTTATTGATCTCATATAAATGAGCTGATACACCCTCAGAAATCTAAATTGGAACATACCAAACTAGTTCTCCCAAATCGCTTCTCTAGTATTCAAAAGCAAATATAAAATATTTCCAATGAATGGTTTCCTTGCATAGTTCTCTGAACTCCCTCCATATGTTATATGCTTCATATCGTTTAATTCTTTCTGCAAGCCTAGGAAGTAAGAAGTAAAATTACCATGCTCATTTTACAGATAAGAAAATCAAGGCTGAAAGGTTGAATAACTCATCCAAACTCGTACTCTAAAATCTTTTCCTTTAATTGGTTTCATTTATAAGATATGCCCATTTGGCAGAAATGGCTTACATTTTGAGAATAAGCATTTGTCTTTATTTTCAGCTGTATGTGGTATTCCCTTTCCAAAAGATGAACCTACGGACATTATTCCCAGAAGCTGTCAACTAACAACAGATGTTCCACACGTCACACAGCTGCTAAATATGACTAAACTGCACCAAACTGAAATAAAATTTGGAAGTCATCCTCTAAGTTCAGCAGAGTCAGGTATGTACTCAGGCACCTAATTGATAAGCATAATATGTCTGCATCTTCTCAATGAAGTGTGACTCCCTTTAAAGAGGGCACCATACCTCATTCTAATATATCCCTAGCACTTAACACAGTATTTGCCACATACCAGGTCAGGGGCTACAAACTCAGATCATTACTGAGGCCAGGAAGATAACATAAATGAATAGAGTGGTCTGGCTGTCTGGATAGTTAGCATATAGGAATATTTTATACTTCAACAGCGAGCCTTACTAGGGGAGAAAGGTGTGGGGATTAAGGGAGAAGGGTGAAGTATCGCTTCAGAGAAATGATTCTCCTACTACTAAAATGGTTAACTTCAACAACTATGCAAATGGTACAATAAATGGCAATTAACATACAGCCCCTGTGAGGGAGCTGTAGGGAGTGGGGCGAACTGAAGCCAAATGGAAACTATTCTCAGTCTAGGGGAATAGCTGTAATTCAGTTCTAGCCAGTGTTGCCTTTTCAAGAATGCAAGCCAAATCTCATCAGCTCTTCTATTTTTTTAAGAGGGGCTAGGTGTCCAAAATGGTTATGATAACTCTCCCAATTTTAAATATAGTCTAAAATTTTTCAAAAAACACTTTGTAGGCCACAGAAAACATGCCAGAGTTGCCAGTTTTCTCCCTCTATAATGAGTGCTTCCCAACTCCATACATGTTAGAATCATCTAAGACATTTTTAAAATACTTGATATCAAAAAAATTTATTTTTCCGATGTTTATGCTCTACCCCTAGAAAATCTCATTTAATTGGCCTAGGGTGAGTGTTTTTAAAACTTCCCTGGTGATTATAATCCAGGGAATTATGTACAGCCAGGGTTGCAAACCACTGGATCGCTTAGCCTATAAAGTTCATGTGGTTCAGATGACATTCACAAACACTGAAATAATTCAGAGGAAGGTAAATGATAGTTCTAATAATAGGACATTTATGGAGGAAGAACAAGCTGAAAGTATTCAATACATACTTAGGTAAATAAGTATTTATAACAAATGAATAAATGAGAGAGGGGGCAGAGGCAAGATGACTGACTGGAGCCAGCTTTCCACAGAGGTTCCTGTCCAGAAGGAGAGTTAAAGGATGGAAGTTTAGCAAGTAAGTTGATGGTTTGGAGCTAAGCCAAGAGAGAAGGTTGAAGAATGCACATCAACCCTATTGAGGCTGTTTCCCCCAGGAAACAAACAATAGGTACAAAATCCATTGCAAAGCGGACAGGAGTCCCCTCCCCCATGAGAACAGCTCATAGTATACTTTCTACAAATAAGCAAGCAGAGTTCAGATCTCCTCTTATTTTATCCCACGGGAGATACCCCCTAAAAACCAAAACTCCTTCTTGAGCACTAGTGTACAATGGCACTCTCCCACTAGGTATAACTGTATATATATTTTCTACCTTCAATTCTGAACTACTTGTACTCTCCTCCACTCTCACCCTGAGGTCTGGAAGCCTGTTCCCCAGAATCTAGAGAATCTGGAGTCCAGATTATTGGGTATTTCTCGAGAGGGGTGGAGAAGGCGAGAGCTGTTACAAGTCTGTGCTGATTCTGAAGCACAGATGTAAAGAGAGGACTGTGGACCAAGGGAGCCATACAGGAAAGGGAGAAGCAGTGCCCCATGGCACAGAGTAGCAGTGGCAGCAGCAGGAACAATAGGACTCACACCTCTGGGGATATTTTAGAGAGACACTCCCTGCCTCTCTTGGCTACCAGACAAAGCCAGGCCTCTACTCTGGTGGAAGCCACTGGTGGAACAGATCTGGAATGGAAACACAGGCCCCATGAGCGAAGAGTATGCCTGAGGTGGTACCTCCCCAGGCAGCATGTGGCAGGGACGGAGACTAGAATATGTGCACACAGAGATGGCATACTCCCAGAGTGGGGCTGAGTCAGAAGTGCCGCTTTAGTGAGCCTATGATGCACCCAGGGGAACATAGCTGAGACAAAACCAGGTGGAACAACAGCACCAGCCCAGGGAGAGGCAGGCACTGAGAGATGTGTGAGAGCACAAGCCCAGGGAAAGGCAGGAACTGAGAGCTATGTGTGAGCTCTGAGTGCAGCCGAGACAGAAACGCCAACTCTGTGAGAATTGGCACAAGGACAGCGGCACAGGGTGGGTCCAAGTCGCAGGTTCTGTGAACTCAAACAGTGTCTGGCCCACAGGGAAATACAGCCAGGACAGAAACACAAATACTGTGAGAATACAAGTGGCAGCAACATCAATCTGGGGCGGGGCTGGAACTGAGTGAACTGCTCCAGCTTCCATTAAGCACCCAAGGTTGTCAGGTTTCAGCTCCCCCTGTCACCTGGGGGCAGAGTATGGCAGCCTAGCCAAGGAGACATAGATCTCCCTGTGACTCAGGCAGTTGCAAACCCCTGGAGCATCTGCTCATTGTAGGGAACTGGGTCACAGCCCTGCAGAGTTACAAGTGACTGGATGTGACAGAGGTGTAAGGTGATGAAAGAGGCATCAACCTTCCCAGACTAATTCATTTGCTGGGGGTGGATGGGAGGGGGGGCGGTGCTTCTGACTCCACAGAGCACTGGAGCATACTCCCAGGGTGAGGCTGAGTCAGAAGTGCTGCTTTAGAGAGCCTAAGATGCATACTTGACCTGCCAGCAGACCTCTGTTATCTAGTTGCTAGAGACCTTTTGAACTTTCCCACTTGAGACTGGGTGCTGACTGGGATAATTGATTTGGAACTCTTGACCTGGGCCAATCACCCAAGGACTATCCAAAGTGGTACCCTGGGTGTGTGGTTGTGGGAAGGTTTGATTTTCCTTCTCCAGTTGTTGCCTGTGGGGGAGGGGGGTGACTTAGTTGCTGGTATTTCTCCACAGCTGAGACTTCAACCCAGAGTAACTGATTCATTAGGGTAGGACAGAGACCAGCTGAAAACAAGACAGAGCCACTTAGCCTAACCACACCAAGCAGGCCCAGCTTTTGGGCAAAGGGCTGGTTAATCACTACTCCTGGAGCCCCCCACCCAACTTCTCCTTAACTGCTCCTCTAGCTAAATGGTGTAAAATTATCATGGGGTGGAATCAGCAGAAAAACTCTAGTAACATAACCAGAGTAGATCAACTCCCCCCAAGGAATGATATAGCAGACATAACAGAAGATCCCATTTATAAACAGATGGCTGAGATGTCAGAAATCAAATTCAGAATTTGGATTGCAAATAAGATTAATAGAATAGAGGCAAAGTTTAAATTAGAAATTTGAGGAGCATTTCAAAAGTTATCTCAAGAATTCAACGAATTCAAAGACAAAATCACCAAAGATTTTGATGAATTGAGACAAGAATTTGCAGCCCTCAAAGATCTGAGAAATACAGTATAATCCCTCAGTAACAGAATGGAGCAAGCAAAAGAAAGGATTTCTGAAATTGAAGACAAAACTTTTGAAGGCTCCCAAACTCTCAAAGAGGAAGAGAAATGAAGAGCAAAAACAGATCATTCTCTCAGAGAGCTCTGGGATAATTCAAGGAGATCTAATATTCACCTTATAGGAATTCCTGAAGGTGATGAGCTTGCTGTGAAGGATACAGATGCTTTACTTCATAAAATAATCAAAGAGAATTTACCAGACATCCCAAGAGATTCTGAAATTCAGATAGCAGACAGTTTCAGAACCCCAGCACAACTCAACCCAAACAAGACATCCCCCAGGCATATCATAATTAACTTCACTAAAGTTAATATGAAGGAGAAAATTCTGAAAGCAGCCAGACGTAAGAAAACCATAACCTACAAGGAGAAGAATATTAGAATGACTGCAGATCTCTCTGCTGAAGAGGGTTGTCATCAACTTTTAATCTCCTAAAACAAAATAACTTTCAACCCAGGATCCTGTATCCAGCTAAACTGAGTTTCATTTATGATGGAGAAATTAAATACTTTAATGATATTCACATGTTGAAGAACTTTGCCATAACTAACCCAGCTCTTCAGGATATTCTCAGACCTATCCTCCATAATGACCAGTGCTATCCTCTACCACCAAAGTAAACTCACTGAGAAACTTTTTGATCAAATTCCAACTTCCACAGTGGCAAAAGGATTAAAAATGTCCACTGGACATTCAAAAAACTTGATACCCAAAATTCTACCGGGCTTATCAATATTTACAGTTAATGTGAATGGAATTGTCCTCTAAAGAGGCACAGGTTGGCTCACTGGATACAAAAACTCAGGCCAAATATCTGCTGCATACAAGAATTTCATCTTACCTTAAAAGATATAGACTTGGGGTGAAGGGATGGTCATCTATATTTCAGGCAAATTGAAATCAGAAAAAAGCAGGTGTTGCAATTTTATTTACAGATACAAATAGGCTTTAAACCAACAAAAATAAGGAAAGATAAGGATGGTTACTTCGTATTTCTTAAGGTAACACTCAACACAATGAGATCTCAATTAATAACATTTATGCACCCAACCAGAATGCACCTCAATTTATAAGAAAGACTCTGGGGATTGGAGGGATCACTTCTGAGGTTTATCTTACAAGGGTACAAGTGAATCTTTCTAAGAGTAGAATGTGAACGTTTTAAAATAATAACTAAGAAAATGACATGAAGGCTATGTTAAACCAGTTTGATGGAAGTGTTTCGGATTGTGTGTGAAAACCCCATACCTTACCCCGCAAGTGCATTAATGTACATAGTTACCATTAAATAAAAAAAAAAAAAGACTCTAACAGACATGAGCAACTTGATTGCCTCCAGCACTATGATAGTTGAAGATTTTAACACCCCTTTGGTAGTGTTGGATAGATCCTCCAATAAGAAACTAAGCAAAGAAATTTTAGACTTAAACTTAACATTCAACATTTGGATTTAACAGACATCTACAGAACATTTCATCCTAACAAAACTGAATACACATTATTCTCATCAGCCTATGGAACATCCTCCAAAATTGATCACATCTTAGGTCACAAATCTAACCTCAGCAAATTTAAAAGAATAG